CTGAGCCAGATAGGTATAGGAAACCCTAATACAGTTTGAAAGAGCATTAAAATCTGCTTCGACTTATTTAAAAAAATAAAAGTGATGCATTTGAAATAAATTTGAAAACTTTAGGAGCATATTCTCCAAATAAAAAATAAGTAGAGCTGCAATTTAAAAATATTTTTACAAGATACAGAGTGTCCCAAATAAATAAAAAATATCAAAGTTGTATTTTTTTAAATGGAACACCCTGTATATTATTACATTTTTAGTTTCTACGATTAAAATAAAGGTAAATTTGATTAAGGTTTATTATACTTAAACCTTACCGTTTTTGAAATATTTTCAATTTTGTGAAATTGCAGTAAAAATTTTAAAGCTTCATTTCTCCAAGGGTATCAATGTTTTTAATACTAAATATTTAATGAAGTTTATTTATTGATCAGTTATTGTGTTGCAATAATAAAAATAATACTACCTTATACAGAGTGTCTAAAAATTTATTTTAAATAATTATTAGCTTCAAACGGCAATAACTTCTTTAATTTAAATGGAATGCCCTGTATATTTTAGGAGAATCAGATGCACAATTAAATTGTCTATCAAATTGTATTATACCATTTTTTACCTATCCCTTCAAGTTTTCGTATAAAATGCATTTTCTTATAATTTAGACCTCATTTATCAATATATCAATGGAATATTGACATTTTAGATTGTTTTTAAAGCAACAAATGTACAAAATGTACAGACTAGTAATATTATCGTTTTTAGCAAAACGATAATATTACTAGCCCATTTGTATGCAAAAAGAAAACTATTTAAATCTTTATAAAAGAGTATACCATTAATTAAATATAACACCATTATTTGCGCCCATATACTAATTAATTACATACTTAATTGTGTTCGTTATTAAATTATTATAAATAAATGTGGATTTGAGTCAGAAATCAATATAATAATAAGTTATCAAATTAAAGTCTCTGTAGTTATAAATAAGCATTTATTAAAAAATGAAATATCATTTTTAAGGTGTTACTTTTTATCACACTGTCTAATGCCCATACAAAATTCAGTTTTTTAGTATTTGGAGCAATTATTATTAATCAACGCAAACAGTCAGTTAATGTAGTTTGAATACTGTAATCATATTAATTGGTCCTCTTTAACAAATATTTAAACAGTTTTTACTTATTTTTTAATGAAATAAACAAATTATATCGACAATATTAGTATCTGTAATCTTTAAAAATTTGGTACATCTTTAAAAATAATCTAAAATGTCAATAGTCCATGGGTATATTGATAAATAAGTTCTAAATTACAAGAAAATGCATTTTCTACGGAAACTTAAAGAGATAGGTAAAAAATGGTATAATATAATTTGATAGACAATTAAATTGTGCATCTGATTCTCGTAAAATATATAGGGTGTTCTATTTAAATTTAACAAGTTATTGTCGTTTGAAGCTAATAATTATTTAAAATAAATTTTTAGACACTCTGTATGAGGTAGTATTATTTTTATTATTGCAACACAATAACTGATCAGTAAATAAAATTCAGTAAATATTTAGTATTAAAAACTTTGATACCCTTGGAGAAATGAAGCCTTAAAATTTTTACTGCAATTTCACAAAATTGAAAATATTTCAAAAACGGTAAGATTTAAGTATAATAAATCTTAATCAAATTTACCTTTATTTTAATCGTAGAAACTAAAAATGTAATAATATACAGGGTGTTCCATTTAAAAAAATACAACTTTGATATTTTTTACTTATTTGGGACACTCTGTATCTTGTAAAATTATTTTTAAATTGTACCTCTAATAGTCCTTCATCGAACCCAAAATTACAATTTGTAAAAATCTCATCGTTTAGCTACAATACTCCGTGTCGTATGTGGTGAACAACCCTGTATACAGAAGTGCTAATGGATCTATCGATCCTACTAAAACAAGAAGGTTTTTGCAGCCTCAATAAAATTTTTCTAAAGTAAAACTCAATTTTAATTAAAATATAAACACAAACAAAAAAACTTTTTTATCTTTAGAGTGCCCTGCGTATCCAACCTGTAAAATTCAAAGCAGCTTAAACTAGATTCAAATTATTGCTGCATATGGAGGCGTATGCGATAAATAGATTAGAGTGCAAAAGCAAGCAAAAATTCCCCGGCCGAGTTTGGCCGAGGTATTAAGGCTAACTTTTCGGCCGTTTTTGCAAACATTGGGGCTAGTTAATTAATAAGTTACTTGGGCTTTAGTTAGAATTAAACCGGCTGATTAGAAAGTCTAATAATGTTCACACTTTCCGTAGATTGTTTTAATGAATAATTTAATAATAAACAAAATGTTCCTCTCTCTTTAAACACCAAAAACTTTGGCTTTAAAGAGAGAGGAACAGAGAATTAAAGAAAACATTTTTTTTATATTTTTATTATATTTTATGGGATATTTATTCAATAATATAATTATTGTGTTAAACACGATACATTACTTTAACAAGAACTACATGCGGATTATATGCAAAGTACAATATAATTAAATAATAATAAACGTGTTTCATATATTCCACAATTATGATAAAAAATATTTTAACGAACAATTGAAACGTTATAATTAAATAAATTAATTATGTACGAGGACTGAATTACTATTTATTAATTTTAGTTTACTATAAAAATAACTATGAGGCATTTGTTCAGACATTTATATTAATATTAGTATCATGTGAGGACTTCTAGCATTGTTCTAAAGACTTTTATAATTTTTAAAACGTTTGTATCAAATTTTAAAAAATTATTTTAATCAATTGAAACCTAGAGCTAGCTTTATAAACAGGATGTAAAAAAGAGTGTATCAGATTTTCATCAGGAACACTCCACTCACTGTTCAGATCTTCAGTTCAGATCGTACAGTCCTAGAACTGCTGGCGAACTGTGTGTGAATGGGTACCTTTAGACTATTAGTGTACACTTTATATGTAACAAAAATTAAAGTCAATCATTTTGAATGATTCCTTCAAGACGATACTTAAAAGACGCTTTATTAATTTTTCACTTGAGTAGGTAACGTGAGTTCAAGAAAATATACTTCTATACCAATTTCAATTATAATTATAAGTTCTATATCTACTTGAAGTATAAATCGTTTATCATTTTGGAATTATTAGAAAAGTTCTATTGGTGAGAAAAGAATGAGATGAAAAATAGCGGTTGTGGAGAGGCATCTTTAGATCCAATATTGATTCAATCAGATCTATAAATCATACAGTAAGAAAAATAGAAGCCCGTACCGTTCAGCTTACTCATGTCGATAAAGACATTTATTTTATTTTATTGCAGTTCGGAGGTTACTACAATATTTTATAAAAGATAATTGAAGAGCTTTCTTTAGACAGCCAGTGATTAGTGGTATCAGTTTTTTTTTTCTTTAATATATAGATCACACAAAATAAGTTTGTTTCAAAGTATTTTTATTAAATAATGACACAACTTATACTAGTACGCACTACAATTATTATTAATTTAAATAATTAAATCACAAATTTAAACTTCCTAACTCATTTAAGTGTGCGTACTACAGATATAATTCGAAAAATTTTCTTCCAAACGAGGTTAAACATAATATAGAGCGTTCGTAATCAGCGTCTATTCGTCGTAGCACCCTGCCTCAACTCGAAGCAACTCCCCAGAGGCAACAGCAACGATTTATCAACTCGACGTATAAATTATTATTTTCTATTTTATCTGAGCTTGGAGCGATATATTCGTAGAAGAAATGATCGCACTTCAAAAACTCGTAAAAGCCATAAACATAACTTTTTTATTCTTCCTATACATCACTTTTTATATTATACGTACTTTAAAAAGCATTACTTTTATTATAATTGACATTTATTTTCAGTAATTTTTCTTCTATTTTTTTATAATTCTTTTGGTTGATACACTCAGATATACATGGTGGTTAAGAAGGTCAATTATAAATTTGTGTATAGTGCTAATAAATAAAGATAAAACACCTCCTTTAGAAAGGTCGGGTATTTATGAAATTTTATGTAAAGATTGTAATCAGAAATATGTTGGGCAAACTAGAAGATCAATATTAACTAGATTTAAAGAACTTATAGCTCAGATAAGATATGGTAGACCGGATAAATTTTGCGTTGCTGAACATATCTTTCATAAAGAACATTGTATAGATATGAATAATTTAAAATTATTTAAGCAAGTCTCAAATTACATGCAATTAGATGCATATAAGAGCGTTAAAATTAATAAATGTAAAGATAGTATGAACAGAGACAATGGCCCAATTCCTTCCAGTTCTCTGTTCCTACCACTCTAGTTTCGGTAACTAATTGTTAGGCTCGTTTGGTTTTGACTCGCTTGGCTAGTTTTTGTCACGCCCACTCACAACCAAGTGAGCGAGTAATATGAGATGAAAAATATATGTTGTGGAGTTTTAATCATCTGCTGATGATGCATGGTGTGTCAAACGCACGTCCAGTGTAAAAGTAAAAGTGTTTTGGTGTATTTTGGTGATTTAGTGTTTTATTTTACTCGAATGTTACAAACTATCAATAAATCTATTTAATTACATTTAAATTTTATCTTTAAACGCTTGGTATGTTCGAATAACACTCTCTAAGAATAAACTGCCTTCATGTTCCGGAAGAAGAAACTTTAAAAACTGAGCCAAAACTAAAAGACAGAAAAAAAGAAGAAAAGTTTTAGCAAAGCGCTGGACCGTGTAGATCGGATATTTTTAAAGTTTTGCTTTCAGCGTCGAGCACGGTTCATGCTTTCGCACATTTAGTCCAAAAGAAATTCGATATATTGTACAGGGTGAAATAAAGCATCTTTCAATTTTTATCAATTTTTAGACAGATATTTTTATTAATTTGATTTTTTTCATATAATAACTTTTTTTATATATTAACTTTTTTTGATGCAATTTTATTTGTTTTTTCTTCTAAAAGTTGCTTAACATCAAATTTGTTTTATTTTTTCAGGATTCACAGCTATGTATAGCTTTAGCATCAGCATTGCACTACATAAGGCTTTCTGTTCTATGCTGGATGCTGTTAATGGCTCACAATCTCTTTTCCCAATACAAAACAGGACTATACTTGAATCCTGTGACGGACACACATATCAAAAGGAATTTTATAAGGTAAATAAAAAGTAATCTATATTGCAACAAAAGAAAATATTATTTTTCAAATTTAATTTTATTTTTTTTTGTTAGACAATAAATAAATGAACAACTTATAAAGTCCCTATTTGTTACATTTAAAATTTAAAACACGCAACCATTTTTCACGTTCTTTTTATTTCTTAGGACATGGGGGAATACATAAAAACTGAAATTAAATTTTATTTAATTATATGTCGGGTTCGTATTCATTTCCAGTCTTTTCCGGGAAAGTTTTTGCCAGTGCTGCCAACCTTACTTCATTTACTTTTTGAATATTTTAACAGGTAGAAATATACAGGGAGCTTACAAAATGTTCAGGACGAATTTAGTATACATAATATGTATACTAAATTCGTAATATACATAATATACATATTATGTATATTAGTAAAAATACAAGGTACAATAAAGTAAAGTACAATATGAACGAAAAAAAAACGGTGTCAAAGATGACTATGAAATAAAAAAGATCGGTGTCATTTTATATGTAAAATTATATAGGGAATGTCATCAATTCTCGTTTCCAAACCGAATGGGCGCCGTTTTTTTTTTCGATCATACGGTATATTTTCTTTACCATTAACATTACAGGGCGAATTTTAAATAGTAGTGCATATATTTTTAGTGGTAATATACATATTTCGACACAAGAAACACATCTATGAGTTTTTTGAAAAAAAAATTTGGCATTTTTTTAGTTTTTAGTTAAAAACATAATTTCTTGATAATATGGCAACATATATGGCAATTATAGGATAAGATTTACAAGAAAGAAAGCCCAGAAAAGATCCAGTGGTTCTCAAAAAAATTAAGCAAAAAATATTTTTTTTTAATTTTCAACGTAAAATAACTCCGTTATTTTCGACTTATTTGAAAAACGGTAAAGAGAAAATATTTTTATTTTATCGAGATCGACTAGCCCTAAAAATATTTGCACATATTTGAAACTCACCCTGTATTATGTAAAACTAAGATTTTTAAAAAACAATAATAAATTAAAAATCGGTTTTTATTTATGTGTATATTCTAACATTTGTATATCTACATAATATATACATTTAAGAATATAATCTGTCATAATTAAATCAACAATATATCATATATACCTAAAAAAATATCACGCAAATTTCAGATCACAGTTCAAAAATAATTCAAAATCTATTGCACAAAATTTGTTTTCCTTAATTTTTTTTAATAGTTATTATGTAAATGAGCAATTATTGTGTATAAATTTGCTACTGTATAACAGTAATATCATCTGTAATTATTGTACTATTAACTTGGTCATTGTGTGTTTCTTCACTTTCTTCTGGTACTATCGTGTATTCTACGGTTGGAGATTTCCTTTGTATTATTACAATTATTCTGAAAATAAAAATATAACATAAAATATTAAATCTACATTTGGTAACAAATTAAAAAACAGTGTGTGCACTATGTGCGCATATTTTTTAATTTTTTTATGAATTCTTTTTATAACCTTCAAAAAACATGAACTATACAAGGGGCCTTTAAAAAAAAGTCTTCCAGGTTTTTGAGTTCTGCTTTAAGATGAACTTACGAGAAAATCACCACTCCAACTGAAAAAATGGCGGCTGATACAAAATTGAACAGGCCTGCATCGGTGTTGATTGTAGCATTGTATAATGCAGTGTATCCAGTGGAACTTATTGGATCTATAATGCTGGAACTAATGCTGATAACTGAGAATATCTTGGCTATTTCGTCTTCCTTTACCATCTTGGATAACAACGATCTGGTCAGAGCATTCATGCCAGAAGCTGGCAAGTTTATCACAGCAGCTGGAAAAAGAATTTGGATTTGAATGTTTTAAATGGAAAAATGTATAGATTTTATTCCAATTTTTAGCAAAATAAATCTATATTTTACATACCTAAATAAATTTCCCAGTCGTTGATGGCTGCACCACTTAGAATAAACGACGCAACAGAGAACATGTATCCCATGACTATTAATACTGATTCCTTGATTTTCAGTACTGTGTGTAGTAAATACACCACAAAAAGCGTACCTAAAAAAATTTGGGTTACAAATATACACTCACCGGCAGGAAAAACGGGCACCTTAAAATTTGCATGCATTTTAAAGTTTATTATATTTTATTCTACTGGGCCGATTGTGATGATTTTTTAAGCAATTTGTAGCTATATTATTTGACTTTTTAGTATTTCTTTCTAAATTAAGAATGAAAGTTTCCATCTGTCAGGTATACGAGGGAAAACAAAATGTTGATATTTTGGTGGAAGTTTGAAACTTTGTCTTTTCTCGAGAGTTTGTTTTTTGATTCATCGCAATATCTTTATTTTTATTGGAAATATTTGCTTTTGAATAAGACAGTAACGATTTAGAGCAATTTTAGCATTGATTTTGGATCCTCATCACTACACTTATAAAATAGTGTTTATTGTTTTTGTAATGTCACTGTCATTGAAAAATCATATTATTATTCCCAAGTAGCATTTTCACGACTTGCGACCACATGTTTACTAAACACGACGTTGCATTAGTTACAAAAAATAGTTAGCTCCCTACCTTGGGTATTAAAATAAATGTAAACGTTGTTGTAACGTTGTGCCAACGTTGAACTAGTACTACAACAAAGTAAAAGCTTCTGCGACGTCGAATAAACGTTGTCTTGTAACATAAGTGTGCAACTTAAGTGATCTTTAGGTGATTCGGACAACGTAGTTACAATGTTGGGCCTATTCCAACGTTATGCAAACGTCATCTGTTTTACTAATTCCAACGTTGTTTAGATTTCCTTATTCTTACGTGGGTAGGACGTCGAGCTACTACCTTTTTGCAACTGCATTGAACCATAACCTTAAATCTTAAATTTTCACTTCATTGTTCTGTTCAGTCAGACAGTTCAGTGCTGTTTTTGTTTTTATAAAAAAAACTTAATTAAAATCGGTCGTAAGAAAGGCACATATAAAACTAAATTTAAATATACATCGACATATTACCGATACTTTATCCACTCCCTCGTTTATTTAGAATATAGAGAGCGGCACAAGCTAGACTCTAGGATGACTAAATTAGGCAATCTTGCGACTAGTATACTACCTGTTAAGGCTGAACTGCCACTTTATTAGTCCAGTATGCGACTACTCGAACTACTCCATCTTAATCTCCAAAACAACATAGTGAAAGCCGCCATGTTGTTGAATAAGAAAATGTTTCGTTATCAAAAAAGCAATTCCTACTTTTTGAATACATTAACTTGAAATATTTGACCCTAAACAACACGCGGAAACAATTTTTTTTCGACTGCGAATAAATTATTCTCATTTTACTAAAAAAAATTCAAGAAATTTTTTAAAACTTCTTTAATTTTAAGGCCTATTAGTATTTTTCAAAGTAGAAACAATACATTTATCAATAAAGTTGTTTGCGTTTAACTTTTTTGCCTTGGGTAACGAGTTACAAAGTTGGTTAAAGTGTTTCAATAATTATGGTCTTCAAACATCCTCCACACTTAAGTACTTTTGTTTTGTTTTCCTTTACTGCCATCTGGCATATGTCTCTAACTAAATCATAAAAATAATATTTTTACTATAATTATCCCAATTTAGGATAAAACGCGACTTAGACGCCATATTATTATAGTTTTGTATTTCTGTGAATTAGGATTTTAAACAACGTTGCAGTTTGTATTAAATTAGGCTGCTAGCCAACGTAGGTATCCAACGTCGTTTCGACCCAAAAATTATTCTCCAAACTAGTGCAGACTAGGGTTGGCACGAGGTTGTGCCGACGTTGCGCCCCGACGTTTGGTCGCGTGACACAACGTTGTCCCGACGTCCAAATGCTGCTTGGGTTGTTTATTGACGTTTACCCTAGTAGAGATGGTTTTAAGTTTTGAACTATCGGCTATTGTTCCTTTAATAATTGATCATGGTAGAGATCAACTTTTGGGCTTAAAACCATAATATATGTGCTAGTGTAACTGCCCAACTGACAATAATAATACGATTTTTCAAAGACAATGACATTACAAAATTATAAACTCTATTATATAGGTCTCTGGACTAGGACCAAAAACAAAGGCATATAATTTTAATGTAAAAAATACGAAAAAATGTTAGTATCTTTTTCAAAAGCGAATATCTCCAAAAGAAATAAACCTATTCTGATAAATCAAAAAACAAAGTATCGAGAAAAGATACACCTAGATGATAAAATGATTCTTAAATGCTTTGCTTTGTTAACGAACTTCACAGAGTGTTTCAAACTTTCACCAAAATATCAACATTTTGTTTTCCGTCGTATAATTGACAGTTGGCAACTTTCATTTTTTATTTCAAAAGAGATACTATAAAGTCAAATAATTCAGCTACAAACTGTTTAAAAAATCAAAAGAATCGGCCAGCTAGAACAAAATATACTGAACTTTAAAATTCATAAAAATTTTAATTTTTCTTGTTATTTTTATATTTTGTCTTGCTTTATTTCTGGAACAACACTATACTTGTTCTTACCTATAATACCCAATATATTCGTTCCACTAATGAACCACGTGAATTGCTTCAAGGTCCAATGAAATTTTTCCCTTAAAAACAGGAAGCCTAAACTGGCTCCCCCCATAGCAAACTCAGTCAACCACAGAGTGAGCATAATCAGAAGCAGGATTTTCCTGTTCGAGTTTACTCTGGCTTTGAATGGGGTCTTGAACATTTCCAAAACGTTGGACGTGTTGAGGAAGCCAAGAATTTTGCTCTGTAAACAACAAGAATTAGAGAAATTTGATAGAAAACCAGCTTGTGATGTTTAAGTTAAACAAACAAAGCGATAACTGTGATGAGTGAATAATTGTGATAATTGTCACGTGAGCACGCCCAAAAAGAGACTTTTTTAGAGTTCCGTATATCAAAAGGAAGAAAGGAACCTATACCGGGTGCGTCTCAAAAGTGGCTCACCTCTATAACTTTTTTATTTTTTCAGATTAAAAAAAAACGATATTTGGTATGTTAGTATATGATATAAATTAGGATTGGTTGATGTATTCAATTCTTTTCGGCCACTTCCTGTTTCACCGGAAATGACTACATTTTTTAATTTTTAAATGGCACCCTCGGTATATTTTTACTTAAAATGACACCCTGAATAAAATGACAAACTTTTGACGTTTGTTCTTTGATGACACTATTAATCTTGTTTATCACAACCTTAAACTGATTTTTAATTATTTCTATGATGTGATGATTTTATGATTTTAAGAGATGGCAACACTGTAAGATGGCATACCCCTGTATCACGTTCATGTAGAGATTCTGCTATAAACAACGTGGTAAAAATTAAGGCTATAATATGACATACAGCCGCTATACAGTACACCATAACGTAACTCGTAGCAGCCAAAACATACGAACTGGCAGTGTTTCCTATTAGCACAGCAGATGTCATCACTACGTCAAAAAGGCCCATTCTGAAAGAAATATATATTAATTCCTATCATTACTACCATACGATCCTGGGGAATAACAATCGATAATAATTTTGTCCAGATCAAACCCTAGACTCTTCCCTTACTGGTCGAACCAACTTTACCTGAACCCTCTCTCTTCTTTTGTCGTTGAATCTGTCAAATACGCTGACAACACTGTCATAAATGTAGCAGATCCACCTGTTATTAAAACAGGTAGACTAAGAACCAACAGAAACCATGGTGTTAGGTTTTCTAGAGCAGCGAATAAGATATGAAGACCTAGAGACAGCACTCCACCTAAAAATTCAGAGAAAAAAAAACAATAAAAATTTATATAAACTAAAAAAAATGCTTCATACCAAGAAGTCCAATAACCAGGATTGGTTTTCTACCAAATTTATCGCTCCATGGAGCTATGAACAGGCATAGAATGGATCCTAAGACTGAATCCATGATGTTTTTAACAAGACTAATATAGTCTGAGTATGGTTCGACTTTTTTCTCTAAGTATTCAGTGATGTTGTTGCTGACCATGCCAAGCATGGCGCATTCTGTCTTGTTGTAATGCAGATAAGCGTAGCATGTTCGGTAAATCAGCAGATTGCTGTTCACGCTCACTGAAAACAAAGTTTGTATAATATTTACTTGTTTCTGTAACAATGATTCATAATAATAATATAACTCATATACTTCAAATTTAGGCTTTCAAAATTGAATTTTGTACCTATAATATACAGGGTGAATCTTAAATATGTGCAAAATTTTCAGGGCTGGTAGATCTCGATAAAAGAAATATATTTCCTCTTTACCGTTTTTCAAATAAATCCAAAGTAACCGAGTTATATTGCTTTGAAAATTTCCAAAAAATATATTTTTTGTTAAAATTTTGAGAACCACTGGATCTTTTCTGGATTTTCTTTCTTCTAAATTTAATCTACTACCTATGTTGTCATATCATTAAGAAATTATGTTTTTTAACTAAAAACTAAAAAAAATCAAGTTTTCAAATTTTTTTTTCGCGAAAAAAGTTCATAGTCGTGTTTCTGTGGTCGAAATATTCTGCCCCTAAAAATATTGACTCATCTTGTATGATAAACGAATTTCATATTATATAATGGCAATTTTCTTTAACAAAATTATATTATTTATAATATTATAATAAAAAGAATTTTACTTACTTGTAAGCATAAACCCAACTGTGGATAGAAACAAGGGAACCTCTATGGTTAATTTAAAACCCATTTTGAATTAGTTTCTTCGATTCTAAAACTAATTCAACAGATGTATTTTAATGAATGCAACATTAACCAGACACAAAATTTAACAAATCATTTTGGATTTCAAATTGTTGACATTAAACAATAAAAAATGTATTAGAACTAGTGTAACATGCGATTATTTCGAGATAACAAGATACTGTATAGGATGAAATACTTCAAATAGTTTAATTATCACTGTATGTAATACGTAAAGTAAATAAATAACATTATATTTTTATTTCTTTTTATAAAAATCATATAGGAAATAAATTAGTGTAAGTATTATAGAATGAAATAATATTTGTCATAACGTAGTTCCAGTTCATTTTTCTATTATTTACAGTATTTTTATATTTAATAACAATACACAATATTTAATGAAATTTTTAACAATAAAGCTATACCGGGTGCGTCTCAAAAGTGGCTCACCTCTATAAGTTTTTCATTTTTTTAGATAAAAAAACGAGATTTGGTATGTATAGAGAGAGATTTGGTATATGTGTGTGTGACATAAATTAGTATTGATTGACGTATTCAATTATTATATTATTCATTATATTATATTATTCAAGTTTTTGGTCACTTCCTGTTTCACCGGAAATGGTTATGTACCTACAACTTTTCATTTTTAAATGGCACCCTCGGTATTTTTTTACTTTATTCGAAAATGACACTCTGAATAGAGTGAATGACTCTGAATAGAGTGAGTGACTCTGAATAGAGTGTCATTTTCTATCGAATAAAGTAAAAATATACCGAGGGTTGCATTTAAAAATTAAAAGTTATTAGTAATTTTCGGTGAAACAGGAAGTGACCAAAAACAATTGAATACGTCAATCAATCCTAATTTATGTAATATACTAACCAAAAAAATAAAAAAGTTATAGGGTGAGCCACTTTTGAGACGCATCTGGTATACTAAAAACTAAGTTAAGCCGTTTTTTTTTGCAGATAAGAAAAGCATTGACAAAATCTAAACATTTCTTAATGCTTAAGTTTGGTTTTATTTTATTATGTTAAAAATATAATGAACTTTAAATTGTTTAAATTGGTTTTTTCAAAATTTGATTGAATTGAAAAAAAGGTGAGGTTTTCAAAAATTATTTTTTAGCAGTAGATATAATTTACTCATCATACTCATTTAATTTTTTCAGGTAAACTCACTCTACATAAAAAAAATATCTCAAAATCATTTTCCAGACCAATTCAAAATTATAATTAAACATATAAACAAATTTTAACGCAGTCACTCTGTTCGAAACTTGAAGGTTATGTTTATATTTAAACACCATCCGCATAATCAAAACAGAAAACATCTGTTAATCTCAACTAGGAACTTGTTGTACTTACGTGTTACGTAATTTTCATTTGCTAAAACTATGTCAATATCACAATTCCGGCTCGAAGGACCCAGAAATAATGACTTTCACTCACTGCGTTCACTGTCACTGTATTTTTCGGTTGTTTACTAACAAAATATTCGCTCAAAAATCGTGTAAACAAAAGAATCCTAAAAATATAACGCGATTTTTTGTGTTTGAATTATCTTGTAAGTCTCCAAGGAACAAATTTCGAAAAAAACTCACTTAAAAAATAGTATTTTTTTGGTAAACTAAATGATTCTAGTAACATCAAACGACTTTATACAGTGTTAGGATCATTTTTTTAGGAACCTAATGCAGAAATAAACATAAAACAAGCAGCTGTTGCCTGGCGATCCTTTGTTAGATACAAATGTGTAGAATTCGCGAAGGTCACAGACATTCAAACTCATTATCTCTGTTGGATTTAATTATATTGATGAATGCGATCAGGTCGGGGCCTATTTTTGGTTTAATAAATATTACGGTTTCGAAATTTTTACTCGCAACAAAGGAAGTGTATACAATGTATGCCATAAAAGCTGGATTTTGTTGAAATTTTTATGTACTGGATGAGAGACGGCACACGTTTTTGAGATGTCCCCCGAGAGATGGCACATGTTTTTTGAAACACCCTGTATAGAAATTATTTGAATCAAAATGATAACAATAATTGTCAAATTGATTGGTTTCAATCATTCCAGATCATTGATTCATGTTTGAAAAAGTGACATATAATGATTTTTTAATATAAATGTTATTTTCAATTTATTTCTGTAATCTGTACAGGGTGGGTCAAATTCGACGCTTTTAAATGGAAGCACCCTTTTCTATAGGTGATAGACGAGAACTAATATCGGTGTCTGGAGCTCAATTTTCATCAAAAACATGATGGTGAAAACGTCACATCAATATCTGTTACCGTTTCGGAGTTAGGGGGTGTTTTTCAAAAATATGCATTTTTAACAAATCGCTGTAACTTTTTTGCTATGGAAAATTTTGTATTTCTATGAAAACATTTCCAAAGCACCTTTTTACGTAGAATTTAATGGTTTAAGTATAATTTTTCTAAAATTTAGAAGTTAGCTTAGTTGTTCATATAAAATCGAATTTTTATTGTTTATATGAAAATTTATTTTTTTCAAATTACAATTTTCTGGAATAAACAAAACTGCCATTTTTGATTATTTTATAAAACCTAAAACTCGTATTTTTGTATTGCATAAAACCAACAAGAGCGAATTAAAAGGTTTGTATTTTTAAAAATCAACCGGAAGCTTATTTTTCGTTCAACAATTTTCGCAAAAAGTCGAAAACAGAAGTAAACAGACGCGTGCAATTGTCAGGTATAGTGCATCCAGAAATGGTTGAACCTTGCTCTAACAACTTGCAAAAATAGTTTAAAGAATGTAACTAAAAAGAATTCTCATAATTTATTTTTGAAGTGAAAAATTCAAGGCCGTGACATACGAGCTAGCGAGATGAAAAGTGGTAAGGATCGCACGATCGCGCAAACACCAAAAGACATTTAATTTAAAGCTAAGAAAATAATTAAAATAAACTTGATACTGTATCTGCATACCAATATCCTCTGGTTGTGAGCTAGGAAATACATTTTCATGCATATTTTCATCAATAGGTTTGTAGCTTCTGAAAAAAAGTCTGAGCAAAGCATCTAGCTCATTTGCTAGCTCAGAATTAGAATTATTAGAGTTAAGCAACTCACAATTTCATTGGAGGACATTGTCATATTTATTTCAAACCAATAATCAACGAGAATATTCGTATAATTTAAGAAAATTACTGTAAATCACTATAAATATTGAACAAAACATGTAAACAAAAACAGACCCCACGAATTGTTGGTAAAATTTTAAGGGGCATTAACATGTAGAATGTAGAATGAGTAAGAAGGGGGATTAATCCCCTGAGGCATCACACAATCTATTACCCATCATACCCCTGTTGTAGAGGAGACAGATTATTTCCCATCCTCCTCTGACAACAGTTCTTCCTTCGAGGGTACACCCCCTTCCCCGGTTGGAGTTTGGTCCTCCGTGCCGCTCTTCACAGTCGAGGAGCTTGCCTCCGGCTGAGGAACCCGTGGGGTGGAGACTGGAGGATCTGTCTCCATTTCCTCCACCTCTTTAACTTGGTCTCTTCTTAGACCTGATACCGGTGTTGTCCCGTATCTATAATAGAGGATATGTCCCTCTTTCTCTATTGCCTCCTTGGATTTGAGGTCAATTCCTATTGTGAGGGAGGAGGGCCATGGTCAGGAGGAGGGTTATCCCTGTTGAGGAGGAGGGCCATGGTCAGGTGACCATGGCCCCCCTCCCTCGAGTTGATGACTCGCCAACTCGATGTCTTTACATTGAAGTTCTGACCTTGGATAAGGCTCAGCAGATAGAGTCTTCCAAGTTCTTGAATTCTGTGTTTCGTCCATCTATTACTTCTAATGTTTATTGAAGAAACACACACATGAAAACAATATTAAAAAAACCCGACAACAAAACGCGTACAAATAAAAGCCTTGAAATTCTGATAAATTAAATAATATATACCCCGCTACCCTTCGCATCGAGGGATTTTATTGGCGCTAAAATAAACACAGGATGACATTCGTGTTTTTTTTTGTTTGTAATTAGCCCAAGCCTGGCTGGATATAACGGACAGATCCGACTAAAATCGATATATCTCTTTATTTTTCATGTTTTATTTGTTCTTCGTTCACGGCTTATGTAATATGGTTGTTTATTTATTGTTGGATTTGTCGCCACACATTCGTCGCTCGTTACTCAGACGGAGTCCTCAGACGGACAGAATGACAGACAGAGAGACAAGAGTAAGAAGAAGTTTCACTTAAAATGTGTGATTTTTATAAGAACATTTATTTATCACAACAAAACAGGAGTATGTTTACTAAAAGGGGCTCCAGAATAAAATCTGCTGAAAATCTTCTTCCATTTAGCAGCGAAATAATTACGGGAGATTTAGGTTCCTTTTTAATGCCTAATTACACAACGTTTTTATTTTAATAGGGCTTGAGTGTCTTGAAATACGTGAGCCAGAATGCTGGACGGAGATTTGCATAAATAAAAAGAGAGGAATTATTTATTTATACCACGGTGGTAAGAGCTAGGGGTTGTTATTTCTGAAATAAATATATTTTTTTTAATGGAAATAAGATATTTTCTTATTTTATATCTAAACCACTTGTGTGTGTTACAGAAAAAAAATAAATTAAAATTAGGAAACATATAAAATTCCGGATACTTTCTAGACGGACTATATTTTCCTGTTTTTTTTTTCAGATATTCAATTTTTGGATGGGGATTCCCTGCTGTTACACTATCCATGACAATTCTCATTCAATACCACGACAAAGGTGGCAGACTTCTAGACACAGAAGACTTAAAGGGTCAGAATTGTTGGTAAGTCATATTATGTACCGTATGATCGAAAAAAAAACACGGTGTCTGAGAGGGCTGGGGAACCTAACCTAATCTGCCTAAACGTCATTCACTACCAACTGACATAAAACTTTAACACTAATTATAGAAATATTAAAAAATGACACACAAATCTATTTCCAAAAAGTGATTTTTTCCCGAATTTTAAAGCACACCGTTTAAAAATCATTTTTACTAAAAAACAACCTTCTTTTGCCTATGAGGCAAAATTATTATTGCCTAAATTAATGAGCGAATTAATGATACGCCATTGTTTTATGACAATATTGAAAAAACTAAACTAAAACAAAACTAGTTTTAGTGAACCCTAATCGACATTTGATTTCGGAAAATCGACTACATAATATATCATATTTTACGCAAAATTGTAAAATTTCCAGGGATTTTGTGCCTAAACGGTTGACTTTAACGAAAATTTTCATAAAAACTTTTTTATAGAAAATTTTGTTCTCTTTAACTTTGCTCTCTTCAAATTTTCGCGAAAAACGCATAGTTTTCAAGATATTCATAAAATACCGATTTTGGGCGCCATCTTGGTAAGATGGCGGCGCCAGCGGCAAGTCTCGAAATGTACATTTTATGGATTTTAGTTAGGGACCACAAAACCTATAAACCTGCAAAGTTGCAAAACTTCCGGACTTCCAAGCAAAAATCCCCAGTGACTGAACTATATTATTAATTATAGAGGAGTACAGGCCAAGAAAATAATGTCTAGGGCTTGACTTCGTCAAAATTATAATTTCCCAACCGTCTTTGACGCCGTCTTTTTTCGATACAATATATTTAGTAACCTGAATAATATTATAAATCAAATTATTGATTATTACTGGCTGCATAAACTCCCTGTCTTTCTCTATCAAAATTCTTGTCGAAATATCCGTAACACCAGTTATCCAGATAATCCGCTCTAATCTACAAGATATCCGGTCGATAGCGGCGTCTAACCTCCGGTTATATCAGCTCGAACACACGTTGATCGAATTATCAGCCGATTAATATTTAACCTAGTAGAAAATAGGAAATTCGCCGGCGAATTTGGATTATTCCAGGTCCGTAAGCGACGCGATTCGAGGGGAAGCAAATTTTTGAGCCCGTGGGGCGATTTTAATTAATTTTTAATTAGTAGAGCATCCTGGGGGTATCTCTATTAGGCCAAGACGCTTGTTATGAATTTAATTTCGAGGTTATGAAGATAATCGAGCAAAAATATCCTTAAAATACAGGATGGTCCGAACTGCATTCCGAAAACTTCGGCAGCATATTCTGCAGATAAAAATCAGTAAAAAAGTTCGCATAAATGTATGTCCGAAAATGCTTAGTTTCGGAGATACAGGGTGTAGAAGTTTCAGACACTACTTGTAGAGAGCGCCGCCTACCTGTATAAAACTACTTAGTAAACAAATATACATTTACAACATTTTTTACGTAAAAAAAGGTCTCTTGGTAAAAATCGCAACAATTATTGGTTCTCGAGATATTTGCAATCGAAATTATCAATACTTGTGAGGATTGACATAAATTAAACATATTATTGACTAAATAGTTATTAGACTCAAATCATAAATTTGAAATATTTTTGCGCCAAAAGTTCAACAGAAATTATTTTATCATAATTTATTTGAAGAAAAATGTATGATTAATTTAAAAAAAATTGATCATTTCAATCAAATAACTATCAACTCAACATACGTTTATTTTTTAAGAGACATTTTTTACGTAAAAAATCACGGAAATGTAAAGTTTTTCACTCTGTAGTTTTATACAGGTACGGACGAAAAGTTATTACTTTTCAAAACAGTTAAAACACTTGTAAGTGGCGCCCCCTACAAATAGGAGTCATATTGACATCAAAATCAATTTTCTAAAGTCAAGAAACTCCCAGACACCAATTTTCATTCAAATATTGACGTTACTTCATAAATTATTTGGAAAAAATCGAAATAAAAATGAAACTTCTACACCCTGTATCTCCGAAACTAAGCAATTTCGGACATACATGAACGTTTTTACTTATTTTTATCTGCAGAATATGCTGCCGCAGTTTCCGGAATACAGTTCGGACCACCCTGTATATCTATTTTCTAAAAAAAAGTCCAAAATATCGGAGATATTTTACTTTGAAAATTTGAACAAACAAATTTTTCACTTAAATTTTGAAAATCACTGGATCTTTTCCTGGTTTCCAAATATTAAAAATAAATGTTCCCAAAGAAACTCATAGACGTATTTCTGGGGTCGAACCCCGAAGTATAGAATAAAAAGAAACCAAAGATAAAGAATGTTTTGTTTTTGGATAACGCTCTATAATATACCATTTTCTTTGCAGGTTTCTAAGTGACCATGCACTTATCTACGGCCTGGTGATTCCCAGCTGCCTGCTCATTTGCGCCACCCTGTACTATCTCCTGAGATCGGCCATCTTCTCCCGATACGTCGTCAGCATGCAGCCGGATAAGCGGATACGTGACAAAATGCAACGCAAAGGCACCCTGCAATTAATTCTCTTCACCAAGGTAATTAATTACAATTAAATATTAATCTGAGGTATACCGGGCGGGTGCGTCTCAAAAGTGGCTCATCCCCTATAACTTTTTTATTTTTTCAGATAAAAAAAAACGATTTGCTATGTTAGTATTTGGCATAAATTAGGATTGATTGACGCATTCAATTGTTTTTGGTCACTTCCTGTTTCATCGGAAATGCCAACAATTTTTGATTTTTAAATGGCAACCTCGGAATTTTTTTACTTTGTTCGATTGAAAATGTCTCTTTGAATAACATGACATATCTAGCTAGAGTGGCTGTGTTAAAAATACTAATTTGTAATCAAGGAGCCTTGGAAAAATAGATTTGATTGTCTAATGATTTTCGTGTTTTTGAACAAAGGAAAGACGTGAATTTTTTCAAATGGAACAAAGGTGGCTCATTAGCATATTTAAAAAAAGCATTTTTTTACGAATAATTTGGTACCCACACTTGGTATTTCGAGTCAAATTGTGGTTATGAACCGAATGTTACAATTTCAAATAAACCATATGGGAAAATATCAAAAGTTGACATATGATATGTCATTCAATTCAGAGTGTTATTTTTTATCGAATTAAGCAAAAAAATACCGAGGCTGCTATGTAAAAATCAAAAGTTGTAGTCATTTCTGGTGAAACAGGAAGCGATCAAAAACAATTGAATGCGTCAATCAATCCCAATCTATGTCATATACGAACATACCAAATCTCTTTTCTTTCCCCGACACAAACGGTACATTTTGAGACAGGAAATTGTAGAGAGAAACAAGCCCTATAACATAGGATACAACATTTTAATGAACAGTGCTTTCCATAAAATCAATAAAATGAAAAATATACGAAATAATATACATGTTCTGATTTCTTTCGAATATCGACAACTATGAAACTATAAACCCTTCCCGGACACAAACGGTACATTGTGAGACAGGAAATTGTAGAGAGAAACAAGCCCTATAACATAGGATACAACATTTTAATGAACAGTGCTTTCCATAAAATCAATAAAATGAAAAATATACGAAATAATATACATGTTCTGATTTCTTTCGAATATCGACAACTATGAAACTATAAACCCTTCCCGGACACAAACGGTACATTGTGAGACAGGAAATTGTAGAGAGAAACAAGCCCTATAACATAGGATACAACATTTTAATGAACAGTGCTTTCCATAAAATCAATAAAATGAAAAATATACGAAATAATATACATGTTCTGATTTCTTTCGAATATCGACAACTATGAAACTATGAACCCTTCCCGGACACAAACGGTACATTATGAGACAGGAAATTGTAGAGAGAAACAAGCCCTATAACATAGGATACAACATTTTAATGAACAGTGCTTTCCATAAAATCAATAAAATGAAAAATATACGAAATAATATACATGTTCTGATTTCTTTCGAATATCGACAACTATGAAACTATAAACCCTTCCCGGACACAAACGGTACATTGTGAGACAGGAAATTGAGAGAGAAACAAGCCCTATAACATAGGATACAACATTTTAATGAACAGTGCTTTCCATAAAATCAATAAAATGAAAAATATACGAAATAATATACATGTTCTGATTTCTTTCGAATATCGACAACTATGAAACTATAAACCCTTCCCGGACACAAACGGTACATTGTGAGACAGGAAATTGTAGAGAGAAACAAGCCCTATAACATAGGATACAACATTTTAATGAACAGTGCTTTCCATAAAATCAATAAAATAAAAAATATACGACATAATATACATGTACTGATTTCTTTCGAAAATCGACAACTATGAAACTATGAACCCTTCTCGGACACAAACGGTACATTGTGAGACAGGAAATAAAAAATAACGTCTAGAGATTGACCTCGCCAAAATTATCATCGATTGCCATTCCTCAACTGCATACACTATAAATTAAACAGTCGTAGAAAAATTTACTTAAATTTAGTGAATTACGGGAAATAATAAGGCTCTGAAAGGCGGCAATTTTTATCAGCCACAAGAATAAAAAAGCAGAAAAAAAACGTAAAAAGTCTCTAAACGCCATTTCCTGTAACCCAGGTTTTTATGGGAATCACGTAGCGCCGAATCCTTTAATGCCCGAGTCGATTATAAGAAAAGAAAAAGAGCTTTTACAAATTCTAATGGCGCGACTGTGTTCACTGATTCGTGTCTTCAGCTTTACCTCATTTTTTAAGGGTAGTTCTTAAATTTTTAACCAGTAGGTAGCTGACACTTTTTTCAAAAAGTATAAATATTTTATTTTGAAAGTCTGTTACGCTGTACTTTCGGGTGGCTTTCAGGGGTGGCAGAGCTTCAGCATTTGCCATAAAATACCAAGCAATTTGTTACAAAATCATATAAATTATATATCACTGTAATCAGAAAACTTCAATCTATTTCCGTATTGTAACGGCATTTTAAATTATGTCCTTATTTTCGAGAAAATTTAGTCCAAACATAAAGAAAATTTTGTTGATGTTTGATCATTAAAATCTTCAAAAATAAAGAAGTTGTCTTAAAATGTGCTACATACGGATATAGTATAATTCTTTATCTTTAATTTCCTTCTTAATTTGTGTAAAAATACCTATCAAGTTTTACATAAAACGTTAAATGCCGAACAGTTATTACTCTTTCGGACTCGGAATATTTTTGCGTGAAAATTTATTATTATTTTTGTGTCTAAATTTCTTCATAATATTGAGGTAATTTTAATTAAAGTAATATTTTTTGGACAGAGTGAATAAATTAAGCCGGCATAATTTGAACTCTAAAAACAGAAAAAAGATTGGCTTTTAATTTATTATCAACCGCACTCAGTTTCAGAAAAAAAATCCAAGACATTTAACTTAAAAATAAGAAAATATCATCCAGTCTGTGTTTACTTTTTCTTTTCTTTCATTTTCTTCATATCTTTCAGCATGAAAAATCTGAAATATATCGAAAAATATCAAAATAGGAAATATATCTGTTGTGACAGAAAGCAAATAATTTTATTTTCAATAAAAAAATTATGCTATTTCAAAACAAAATACATTTCTTAGACATTATAAATACCGTTTGGTTTAAAATAAATAAATAAGATTGGTTTTAAACAATAATTCTATCAATAAAAATGTTGAACATTTTTATATAAGTGTTAAATCCACTGTAAACAGGGTACAAGAAAATCTAAAGGAGATAAATTACATCAAGGTGAGTAATGTGACGTTTTAACTTGAATTATATGTAAAATAAGTAAGAAAAAGGAACTCAATGTCGTTAAAAACACATTAAGGGTCGAATGTTCTCCCTCTTGAAGGTATTAAAGCATACTGTCGAAGTTCTTAGATAAGTTATAACTACAGTGGTTAGAAAATAAAATATCTTTTTGGTCTGGCATTCTGTCTTTAATTTTTAAATTTAAACAACATTTTGGTCATATAATGTATCACTTGTAGATGGTATGGACGGGGAAATTTATTGTGTCCCCTTTTCTTGAGATATCACGATTCAGCAAAATAAAACACAAAATCACGGCAATACACTTTTACTTTTACAGTAATCAAGCAGATGCTCAAAACTTGAGTCTTGATCATCTGCTGATGACGCGAAACGCGCGTCCAGTGTAAAAGTAAAGGTGTTTTGGTGTATTGTGGTGATTTAGTGTTTTATTTTGCTGTGTAACACCAAAGGTTCCAATCCCCAACTGTAATATAACGATTCAATCGCAGCGCTTTTAAAATCGCAATCGCAACCTGCGATTGGCTCTCTTAGGAAACTGTAACTGCGATTTTTTCTAGTTGCGAGTTTCAATTTAGGCAACCGCTTTAGAAAGAAAACTTGATACAATGTTGTATTATATTTTAAATTGTATAATTTGCCACTGCTGGTAGAACAGCAATACACCGGGAAAACAATATGCATATTTTTGGACAGTCAAGCCGCGCTGAAAGCACTTGAGGCAACGAAAAGCACGTCTATGACGATTCTTCATTGTAAGAAACTACTCAATATATTGGGAGATAGGAACAAAGTGTCGCTAATATGGATACCGGGACATGTCGGCCTAGAGGGAAATGAACGTGCTGATTCCCTCGCCAAAATTGGGGCAGGCTCGCCATTCGTGGGCCCAGAACCGACACTTAGCGTTCCTAAAAATCTCGCAAGAGACAGGCTCTGTGAATGGGTTAGGGGTGCGACGTTCCGGGACTGGAATGACAGTCCCGGAACACGGGCCACTACCGGCTGAGATCTCACCTACAGAAGATGGGACTGGTGGAAGACGCCGAATGCCGACTCTGTATGGAAGATGACGAAACAATGAATCACGTTTTGTGTACCTGCCCCGCTGGGGGCAGGACCAGGTTCGAGATGTTTGGCAAACCCATGCTAGACCTATTAGACCTAGGAGACATATCGCCCTCAGACATAACGGCCTATGTAAAAAGGCTGGGTCTTGAGGGCTGGGGGACTTTGACGCTCTTTGTATATTACAGCTTGTAGAAACTGAGCCACAATAGGCCCTCGCGGCTGCAGTGAAGGGTCCCATGGGACCCACTCTTAGTCAATACAAAAAAAATACAATACTCCAAATATTCTATTTCAAACCTTAATTATTTTTTAATATAAAAGTTTTCAATGTAAATCTTCTTTGTCCTCCCACAAGATAAAATTTATCTGATAAATTGCTATTCATTTCTTTTCTTCTTTTTTTAAATTTTTGTCTATCTGTCCTTTTAGCTGGACGCGCTTTTGCCTCATTTTATCAGTTTCGATTCAAAGCCGCTGTTGCTGCTGCTGAATGAAACGAATTACAGGACTCTCCTTTGACGGCGGCGGATCCTGCGAAATTACAGGAATAAAGAAGGGACTTTTCAGCAAAACATTTCAAAAGCCGCTTCAGAAAAGCGGCGCGCGGTTTAAAAGAGACCCGTGGTTTCAAAAATTAATATTGGAATACTAAATGACCTACTGGGAATAGCTGAGTCATTTCTAATT